AAAAAAAAAAATCTTAACCAAAAACCCACATAACAACAACAATACTGGTGCTCACTGACAACTAAACTAGACTATAACACTATTTACTTTCCAAAACCATAAAAGGAAATTCTGCTTTTTAAACAACTACAATAATAATCCATAACACAATGTTTAACTTAAGGGTAAACCATTGAACCTTATTTTTAGAAAAATAATGAAAAAATAAGATGCTTCGAACGTGGATTGAACACGTGACCTTTAGATCTTCAGTCTAACGCTCTCCCAGCTGAGCTACCAAAGCACTTCTTGTAAATATGACTAAGGAAAACATAATAAACATAATGAACAATTTTTATAAAAAAAAGTATTAAGTAATGAATATTGAGTTCAATAACGATAACATAATTATTGAAGAGGAAGATCTAGTGAAATAATAAATAGAAATGTCTTGGAAAAAGGAGCTTCAAACCAGAAAAATTACGAGTCCAGACTTACTTTCTAAATTGATTTTGTATTTTAAATACCGCCTACAATCTTACAAAATTATAAAGTCCAACTTGAAGGCAGAAAAATAAAAAAAAAATCTCTTTTCCTGATGGGGTGTATTTTTAATTATTGCTTTCACGTTAGATGTTTTATTTTATCTTTTTGTGTAAAAATATTAACATATTTATTATACTTTTTAATCATTTCCAATATTTCTTTATTTAAAATTTGGTATTAAAAACTTTATTCTTCTATCTTTAACTTTTATTTTGCATTTTTACTAAGCTAAATAACTAATTGTAATCAAAACAAAAATCACGCTCAACAGAAAATATAATTATCCTGTAATAAAAATTAATAGAAATCAATAAAAAACTGTACGAAACATTTATTTAGTATAGTTTTGTTTATTTAACATAAAGATTAATTATTATAATAAAATTTGTCTGCTAGCGTTTTTTTGAAAAATTGGTTCAAAACCCGAAATTTTTTTTTTTTGATTTTTCAACAATTTTTTTAATTTTTAATTTTTTATTATACATATATTATGGCCAAAGTTATTAATATCAATATTGATTCAAGGAGAGAAATTGATCAAGAAATAAAAAAAGTTTGTGAAGAATTTACTACAGAATGCATTAGTGCCGTAATAGAACCACTTAGCACGTTTATGATTAAAGTAATGTATTGTAAGTTTATTTATTTATTTAATCAGGTACTAATATTTTTTATACTTTATTTTTGTTTTTATATATACACGTATAATATGATAGTTATCGGCTGTAAAGGATATAAAAGATGATGGGAATGAAAGTCTTATAGATTCAAGTAATTCATAGTTATTTTTTTCTTTTACTTTCAAAAGATATAAAATAAAAGTTATAATATCATGGATCAATATCTAACTTATTATATATGTATTAAATATATTTATAGAAGAAATAAATAAAATAGTAGCACAATTTCAAGAGGCTGCCGAAGAGCGATTAAAGTATGTTGTTAGGAATCTACAAGACTATATTAATGATAAAAAAATGGAACAAATTCTATTAAAACCAATAGAGGTAATAAGTCTATAACAGTAAACCATTCTAATATTAAAACAAACATACCAATAGTAATTGCTTATACTATATTACATTAGGTAAACGTAATAGAATACTACAAATCGTTTTATCAAATGGTCACCTCTAATAATAACAACAATAATAATAATAACACTAAACTACAACAACCTTTGGAAAACACCTTACCATCAATAAGTTCAATATCGGAATTTATCAACAATGCTATTAATAGTAATACTGTATAATAGCTTATACTCTTTTAATATCACAAAACGAATATATATACTATATTTATTTTTATTTAATATCAGAATGATATATTGAAATAACAGCAAAATAATATATATATATAAACATACGAATAAATAAAGAAAAATAAATATAATATTAAAAATGAAGCACCCTTTTAATTACCAAATACATTATAAAAACCATAGTTCACCCAATCAATTTTTTTATCTATTAATTCTTGGGGAATAGGAATAGCATCTTTTTCAAAATCTTCAGATAATAATTCATGACCAACAGATACATGACCATCAGGACCAGATACTAGTTCATATAATGAAATGACATCTTTGATATTATCTTTGGGAGCGGTGACTTTATATGAAGCAGTCTGGAATAATTTTTGAAGAGTACCATTAGCAACATTGACTTTTGTTTTAATATCAAGCAGCTGATCATCATTAACAATAGTAGTACTATTGGATATAAAGTGTGAGCCAAGACGAGGTTGTTCGTTTTGTATAGAATAGTAGTTAATACATTCGTTGAAGGTAACTTTTTTAAAACTAGAATAGTAATTATCATACTATTTTTTTTTTTTAAAATAAATGAATGAATAAATGCATAATCAATTTGATGGATAAGTTATTTATATTCTATTCTATTATCATTATCATTATTATTATATAAATTAAATAAATTGGTAAAATTACCTTAGGATTAAGGGCATCAGATAATGTCTTTACAGAAGAATCATTTGGATGTAATACACGCCATGGATCACGACAGGATTCAGCACGACAAGATTTAAGTACAACTAATAAAGCGTCTAACCGATTACCAAGTTCTGGATCAAGATTTTTATATTCATTGTCAAGTTCATAAGGATCTTTACGTAAATCATAAAATTCATGCTCCCCAGTACACCAAACCGAATAGGCGTCTAAATTGTATATTGAAAAAATAAATAAATAAATAAACAGATAAAGGGTAAAAAAGATTAGTATTCTCTAGAATGTGATTGAATTTGCACCAAGATATATTATATATGTTATATTTATTACAATTATAATCTTTGGAAATAACACGAAGCGTTTTATATATATTTGGACCTGAAGTCTGAACATCAGTGTAAAATCTAATAATAAATGATGAATAAAATAATAATAATAAAAAAATGAATGATTTAACAATAATTAACTATAGTAATGCTAATAATATTAATAAAAAACCTTACTCTGGAAGGGCATCGGACATCCAAAATTCAACAGCAAAAGATTCTTTAGCAATAGGTTTAGGATGATTTTTTAATTCTTCAGTAAATGGAATAACACCACCATCAACAAAATCAGGAACATGTTCACTTCCTTTTGCTAATGCTAAAATAGATGGGGCCAAATCTGTATGGCTAGTAACTACATCACTGACTTTTCCTTTGGGAATACCTGGGCCTCTGATAATAAAAGGTACACTAAAATTAAGAATAATAATAATAAAAAAAAAACGATAAGTTTATTTAATGATTATTATTTATTATTATTATTAGTATTATTGTATAGATAGGCAAATGGTGAACTTACTTTATATCTTCTTCAATATTACCACATTTTCCTGGAAAAGCTTTATGTTGTCCGATGTGGTATCTAGTTATAAAAATAGATAAATAGTATATATATATATATATTAATAATGATGATAGTTATAAAAATTATAATAATAATAAAAAACATACCCATTATCAGAACTATATAAAATATATGTATTATCCAATTTATTTTGTTTTTTTAATTCATCAAAAATACTGCCAATCATTTCATCAACTGCTTGTAATGATCTTAAGCGATTTCTGTGAATTTCATCAAACTGTTCCACTATAGTTTCATTAAGATGCGATAAATATTTCCAGAAAGAAGCTGTCTTGGTTTGTTTTTTAGGGTTAAAATTAGGTGTCCTATCGACTTTTTTTTTTTAAAAAAAAATAAAATTAAAAATGGTTAGTTATTGCATATCCCCCTTTTTTTTTTGCTACATATATTTAATTACTTTTAACGTCTTTAAACAAGTGCGCATGGCGAGCGGCTGGAATTGGAGGCTCGGTCTTCATTACACCATTTGCAAAAGAAAATTCTCCATGTGGGGCAACTGGGTTAATAAAAAGAATGAATGGTTTCTCAGCCTTTCGTTGTTTTTTTAAACTTTGAAGTGCTTTTTGATGAATCACATCAGTTTGATAGGCATTTTTATAAAATACAGGAGCTTCGCCATTTTTTGAGAAAACAGGTTTATGGTATACATAAGTGTAAGGGTCTACCAATTGATCTTTTTTTTTAAAAATAAATAGTTTTAGAATATTTTTTTAATAATGAATGAAATACATATATTGTTTTTTTCGATTACCTTGATAATCAAACCCTTTAGGTGTTGGATTATTATAATTATTAACACTATATTCATTCATAAGTTTTCCAATAAAATGGGTGGAATAGCCAGCCTATCATAAATGGTTTAATTATTATTACTATTATTATTATTATTATTGGTATTTTTTTTTTTTTTTTGAAAAAGAAAATCTCTTTATTTACTTGTTGCATCCATACTGGTAAAGTTGATTCACCTAATTTTAATTTATTAAATCTTGTGTACCCTCCATATGGTGGACTGACATCCGTTATACTATTTTTTAAAAATAAAGTAAAAAAAATACGTAAATTATACTATTATTTAATTCTAAATTACTCTATTTTTATTATATTTATTATATATACTTAGTATTATGAGAGTATTGACCCCTTAATAAGGATACTCGACTGGGGCAACAAACAGCAACAGTTGCATAATGGTTTCGATAAACGGTACCTTGTTTTACTAAATGTTTCTGTAAATTTGGCATGTAATCGATCGAATTTAATCTTGCATCTTGATCATCAGTAAGAATAAATATAATATTCGGTTTTTCATTTTTATGATGGCTATCACTGGTAGTAGTAGTAACAGCTTGAATAGATAAAGTATTTAATAATAGTAATGCTACCGACCCAAGAATAGAAAGCTTCATATTGTTATTATTATTTTTATATATAAATAATAAATAACAAAAAAAAAAGAATAGATAGATTAAAAAACAAAGAAAATTATTTTTATGATCAAGAATTTAAAGAAATGTAAAAAGATATTTTAAAAATGTCGCAATTGCATCGTTTATTAGCGTCAAAACCAGAATTTCGCCATTTTTTTACATAATCACACATAATAATAAACTTTATTTATAGTACTATAATAAATACAATATATATAATCTATTATTTTTATTGTATGGAACAAATATCGCTCTCTAATATAATATTTTATCATCTTTTTTTTTTTTTTTTTTGTGATTATTTAGTATTATGTGTAACAATATTGTTTGTGATGGCAGATATTAAAAAGTTTAAATGAGATATAATTTTACTTTTGAGGAATATTTTTTTAATAAAAAAATATCCTAATGACTTTCATAATTAGATTTATATAAATTACATTT